TAACTGAATGGGAGGTTGTGGACTCTAGGCAGGTAGGCCTGTGTGGAGGAAGTAGGTTACTGGGGACTATATTTTTCCCTTGGGAACTATATTTTGTTCCTGGCCCCTCCTCTCTCTATCCCTTCCCTCCCCCACCCTCTCTCTCCATCTTGGCTACCATGAGGTGAAGCAGCTTTCCTCCATATGATATTCTCACTCATCTCAGTTCCAAAGCAATGGAACCAGCCAACCATGGACTGGTACTTCTGAAACCATAAGCCAAAATAAATCTTTCTTCTATGTTGTTTTTCTCAGGTATTTGTCACAGCAATGAAAATCTGGCATACACAATAAATAAGTCACTGTACTGTCATATGTTTGCAAAACAGGTTATGCTTCAAAATCCCATGCATGGTCTGCAAAGCAAAACACAACTGTTTCTTATACAAATGTTAATCACTATGAAACGTCAACACAATACATGACACTTTCATTAATTAAAAAATATAATAAGACCAAAGAACAAGCAATACATTTCCCTTGTAAATGCTGCCTCTTGGGCTGGGGATGTCTCTAGTGGTATATAACTTGCCTAGCATGCACAGGGTTCCTTCCCTAGCAACACAAAAACCAACCAACAATAACAAATGGTCCCCCTTCTGTTCTGCTCCTCCTTTTGTCTCTCCATGACTGACTCTGGTATTTTCTGCTAAACTATCTCTTAGTTCACATGTTAGCAAACTATAGCACACAAGCCAAATCCAAACTGTCAGCTGCTTTGTAAATAAAGTTTTATTGGAACACAGACACAAGTTCCACATAAGTATTGTCTCTGGCTGCTTTCACACTCCAACAGTAGGGGGTGAACAGTTGTGACAGAGAGCTCAGAGCCCACAAGATCTAAAGTATGTATCACATGGCTCCTTATAGAAAAGGTTGGCTAACCTGTTCCATTTCCTAAATCTCCACTCAAGTGTCTAAACTGCTATTTAACATCCATTAGTCTCAACTGCAGTGCTATTTTTGGTTCTAGAATTTGAACTTTTGTTTAAAATTTACTGTTTACAGTTCTCTGCTGAGATTCTGGGTCATCGCTCATCTGTGTGTAACATGGGTGTGTTACTCCTGTGGCTGTTTTGTCTTTTATTTTGCTCATTTGTGTCCATGTTTCCTTCTTTCAGTTTATCTGGCTACTTTTAGTGGACATAAAACACTGTATTTGCAAAACTACAGAAATTGTTTAAATCCACTTCTACCTTGCATTTTCACCCCCTCCCCATAAGTTAGACATTATCATTACTGTCATATACGTGTTGTATTTCTTTGTGTTTATCTATGCTATGAACCTTTGCCAATTTCTTTGCTCACTGATCTTTTTCTGAAACTCGGACCTTCCTTCTAGAATTATTTTCAATTTTTTTTTGAAAATGCCTTGAAGGTCTGTTTGTCTGAACGGTCTTCACCTGTTTTCTAGAAAAAGGTTTAAAACCCTAGGTTAATCCTTGCCCTCTCTCAGCATACTGAAGAGGATGTTACTGACATTGACAGACCTGTAGACAGCCTAACTGCTTGACTAGTGAATGATGTTTGTCTTCCTTATTCTTTGGAATCTTGGCTTGGCTACGATGAATACAGAGGTGGATTTCTTTTGTATTTACCAATTGGGACTGCTTACACTTTCTGGATCTGAGATCCACTGTCTTTTAATGATTCTGTAAGACCAGCTATGACCTCTTTGAATATTGCCTCATCCTCAACTCTCTGACGTCTCCTCTTGAAAGACATTACAACTTCCCATCATGTTCCTCACGTCTTAAATCAGTCATGTATGTCACCCTTAGGTTTACTGTCTTAACAATCATGTCAGCTGTGTGTAATCGGTAACTCAATATGTTCACTGAGGTTTTGGCTAACTTATTCCATGCATTAAATTGACTTTATTGATACATAATTTACAACAGTAAAATGCACCTATTTTAAGTCTACAGTTCATTTGAGTTTTGACAAATGTATGCACCCACCTAGGTGCTAAAAATTAAAATACAGAAGAATTTTATCACCCCAAAATATATCTTCATACCCATGCCAGTAAATCCTTCTCACCCCTGGCCCAAGCAATCACTGAACTGCTTTATGTAACTCTACATCAGTCTTTTACCAGAGTTTCATATAAACAGAATCATGTATTATGTTCTCTTTAGTGCCTGGTTTCCTTTGTTTAGCATGTTTTTGAGAGACTCATCCATGTTGATGCCTATCTAGTGTTCCATCTTCAGTGCTGAGTTGTATTCCACTATATGAACACACCACAGTTCATTTGTTCATTTACCTCCTGATAAACACAGAGTCTATTATATGGCTGTTATAAACAAAAGTCCTACTGAACAATGGTACACAAGTCTTTATGCAGACATACGTTCTTATTTCTCTTGGATAAGTCTCTGGGACTAAAACTGCTGGGTAACAATAAGCATATGTTAAACTATTTTCCAAAGTAGTTGGTTTCTTTTACATTCTCACCTGCAGTGTGTGACTTTTAGATACTCTACAATCTCTTCACATTTTAGTCATTCAAATGTTATGTACAGTGGTATCTCAACTGTGGTTGTAATTTGCATTTATGTGACAATCGAGGATGCCGAGCATCTTTTCATTTGTATCATTTTTATTGTCCTTGCATGTATCTTCTTTTATGAAGTTCCTGTTCTAATTAAAATATTTTGCCCCTTTAAAAGTTTGTCTAATTATTGAGGAGAAAGAATTCATACGCACACAGTATCTTATATATATGTACATATATACACACACATATATGTACATATGATGTATACATTATTTACATATAATACACTTATTTATACTTTCCTTCCAATCTGTGGTTTGCCTTTTCATTTTACAAATGGTACTTGCAAAGAACAGACAACTTTTACTCGAATAAAATCCAGTTTATATAATCAATTTCAAACTAGTTTTTGTGTGTGGTGCAAGCTAAGGGTTGACGTTCATTTTCGTTGTGTCAGCACCATTATTGAAAAGACTATCTTTATCTAATAAATTACTCTAGGACCTTTGTCAAAATCCTACTGACCACAAACACAAAACCAATAATTTACTATATAAGTGTGGCTCTGTTTTTGGCCTCTCCAATTTTGCTTGAAAAAAAAAAAAAGTCTTCTTTTTAGTTTTCAAAGTATTTTCAATCTTTATACCTTCAGAATATATTTCGAAAAATTCCTGTAGAATTCCTACTCTTGCCTCCTCTTCCCCATTTTCCTCTCAGGACTCCCAACCAACATGTGTGTTGGATTGTCTGACACTGTTCCATACTTTGCTGAGACTGTTTTTCTTCCTATTTTAGTCTGTCTTTCTGCTCCATAGTAAATTCAGAATGTTCTGTTGCTAAGTCTTCATGTTCAATGACCTCTTCTACAGTGCCTACCCTGTTAGTCCCATCTTGTGACATTTTTATTTCAGGACATCATATTTTTCATCTCTAGATCAATCTGGTTCTTTTTTAAAATTCTAATTTGCTATATACGACAGCAGAACGCGTTACAATTCATATTACACATATGGAGCTCAACCTGGTTCCTTTTTAAGATTTTTGGTTTTTAATCGTCTATTTCTCTCATTTTTCTTCCTTATTCACTGCTAGGAAGTGACCATTCTGGAATCACTACTGCGTGCCCTGTTTATTCCACAAAATCCCTGCACGTTGACTGGTGGGGACTCACGTGCTTCCCCACCCTCTGTGAGCTCTAGGAATAGCTCCACTTTTCCCTCCCCAGGAACCAGTCTCTCCTCTGCAGCTGTGTCTTGCTTGTTCTCATGCGGTGTCATTCCACCCATATGCAGATAACAGTCTCCCTAAGAGTTTCTTCTTGGTTGAATTTTTAAAAATTTGTTCATTTCAGTTATCCATGACAGAAGAACGTATTTTGACATATTTAAGCAGACTGCTATGTATACTTCTAGAGTTCTTTCTCTGTCTAGCTCTTCTACTTCTCTGAACCTCAAATTTTAGTCACCTGATATCCCCAAATTCCACGCTTTCCCTCCTCAAATCACGGGGACCACCGAGCTCTATTTTGTGCCCCCTACCAGAGTCTGGAAACAGCTTTGGACAATCCTGGGGCTCAGCTTATTTGTTCCACCTCATCTAGGCATCACAGAGCCATGATGCCCGGAGTCCAAGGTCTCACTTACTGGATTTTATTCGAGTAAAAGTTGTCTGTTCTTTGCAAGTACCATTTGTAAAATGAAAAGGCAAACCACAGATTGGAAGAAAATTATAAATAAGTGTAATATATGTATATAATATATATAATAACATATACTTTTTTTAGTTGTAGATGGACACAATACCTCTATTTATTTATTTATATGCAGTACTGAGGATCAAACTCAGTGCCACACATGTGCTAGTCTTCCACTGAGCCACAACTCCAGCCCCACTGAGATTTTGCACTTATTGTTGAGTTTTCTAGTTATTTACACAGGGAGGTAAATTCCAATCCTATTATTCCCTCATGATTAGTCACAAAAGTCTCCTTCCATTGAGTTTTAACAAGTTGATTTGGTTCTTTTTAATAAAATCTGGGTGTAATTTTTATAGAGATCTGTTCTCTAAAGACATTTACATCATGTCACATATTTCTTTATGGAATCAGAATGTTTTTTTACTCTGTCTGGCTTTTCTATTATCTGATGTGACTGTGGGTTGATCTCCTGCCTGTCATTTCTCCTGGATTTTTCCTGATACCTTATTTTTATTTTTTTGTTAAGCATATTTTTTCCAAAGCTACTCTAACTTAAAAATAAAACAAAACAAAAACAAAAAACAAACAAAAAAAAACTAAGTTCAACGAGAAGAAAAGGAAAGAGTTCACATGGAGATGAGAGAGTGGGGAGAAGGTGCTGTCTATGTGATTTAATTCCCTGCGGGCTCTGGTGGCAGATCTTTCAAGCTTATACTCTTGAGACTTGAGACCTCTTAGCCTAAACCTTCACCCTACACTCACCTGCTTTGCCCGTGTGCGATCGCTGGAGAAAGCATGAGTAAACCTCACTTTACTCATAAATCTACCAGCAGCAGCCGCTTATTTAAATCCAGTCTCTGAAAGAGGTTCATCTATTCCTTGTCCTGTGGTGAAACAAAGCATTCAAAAACATAACCGAGGGGTACAGATAAAGCCACATATAAGAGAACAGAAACTGTGCCTATCTCTATTTTAATGAAAAGTTTCCTCGAGCACTTTTCTACACGACTTTTCAGAGAGCCAAGGAGCCGACAGTACCTACTGTGAAGTTAAGCTGATTCTATCAAGGCTCAGATTCAAATGTTTTCCAAAAGAGTTGTTTGCCTGCTGGGAATAAGGTGATGCTAACAACATCTCGGTTTTAGCTCTTCCCTCTTTTGTGTTTGCCCATGTCCTCATTGGTTGCATTTTATAAATGGTGACTCTGACCCTACATGTGCTGCTATCATTACCATAAGAGTTTTGCCTTCTATATCTCTATTGTCCAAATGTTCAATATTATAATGATGGTACTTCTTTCTTCCCTGCCCCCTTCCCTTTCTTTTTCATTAAAAAAAAACAAAAAAACAAAAAAAAAAAAACAAAAAAAAACAAAAAACAACAACAAAAAAAAAAACAAAACACTATGAAACCTACACTTCCAGGAGAAAAAGCAGATTGGACACTGAGAAGGGACTTATTATTACAGAATAAGTGATGTATGCTTGGTGTGAGTGGGCTCACAGAATGCAAGGAAATCCCCAAGGGACGAAGCCAAGCCATCAAAGACCCCTGGGCTGAAATGTGAAAAGTGATATGGAAATTTGGAGTTGCTGCAACATCAGCTCAGGTTGGAAGGGTTTCTGGAGGAGGCCTGCTCATGAGACAGCAAGGTGGGAGGACCAAACTGCACTGAAGCAAGGGGTCCTAGAAGGAGGCTACTGTCATCTCAGGCCAGTGGCCTAATGCAAATCCTGCTCAGAACAAACCACTCACAACAGAGGATAACAAGCTCTCCACTAATTTTAGAGCAAATAATAGGTCAGCCAAAGACTCAACACATACACAAGAAAATAATCCATAATGAATGAATGAGAGTCATAATAATGAATGAGAGTCAGCAGAAAAAAAGAACAGATTTAGAATCATTAAGAATTCACACACTGAAATCAGCAAAGAAAAGCTATGAAATTAATTATGAATAAGACATAAATGTTATAGGCAGAATATTCCTGATCACACCAGAAAGATTTCAGATGTGTTGCTCAGAGTAACAGGCATGAATTTATTAGAAGGGATAGGAAAAGGGGAGAGCAGGTCCTCTCAGGAGAAGGATGGCATGCCTCTCCTACCCTCTGATTATATTGGGGGTCCCAGAGAAGTTTCCAGAAAGACCCACCCAGGTCCACCTCTTGACTTTTGACTGACAGGCAGCAGGATGACAGCAGACTTTCAAGTTTTCTCTGCACATGGGAACTCTAGGTTGGTTTGTCCTGTGCTGAGTGGTTCTAACTGGAACTTGTTCTTAGAGATGTTATGGTTAGGGGAATTATCCTTACCTTTCAGAGTTCTGGGATCCGTCTGTGGAAGGGTCACAAAATTCCCCCCTTATAGGGTAACTAATGTTTTTATTGGCATTTTAGGCCTGCATTTCTCCTGCAGATAACAGGTTGTTATGCCAGGCAGGGCTGCAGGTAAATTGCTTTTTTAAAAAAGAAACCACATGAGAGTCAGCACAGGAGACTCATTTTATAGAATTATTCCTTTAACCTCATGTTTCCACTGCTCACATCTGTCTGTTCCCTACCACAAAGACAGATTCAGCAAGATAAGCAATTAACAGAAAGCATTAAAAACAACCAGATGGCTTTCTAAAAGATAAAATAAATCTTTAATAAGGAAAAACAGAATGCTAAGAAAAGAAAAAAAAAATCCCTCAGTGGTTTGAGTGATGTGGTTGAGGGGAGATGTAATGAACTCCAAGACAAAGCTGCACATACTACCCAGAATGCAGCACAGATACAAGGAGAAGGAATGTGGATATACTGGTGATGAATGGGAAAGAATGAGAATTCCCCACATGCATTGTTTAGTTCAGGCTACTGTAACAAAATACCATAGATTAGATGGCTTATAAACAACAAACATTCATGTCTCACAGTTCACGATCAGGGTGTCAGCATGGCTGGGTTCTGGTGAAGGCTTCTTCCAGGGTACAGAGTGCTGACTTCTCCCCTTATGTGCTCAAATGGCAAAAGAAGGTATAAGAGCTCTTCAGGGCCCCCTTTTAATAATCCTGCCCACAAGGGCTACACCCTCATGACCTAATCACCTCCCAAAGATTCCATCTTTCAGAGATGAAATCTTTGGAGGTAGAAAATGGAGAAAATAAACATGTAAAATGGAAAACAGAGAAAATAAACATAAAGAGATAATGGCTGGGGCTGGGGATGTGGTAGCTGTAGCGCGCTCGCCTGGCATGCGTGTGGCCCGGGGTTCGATCCTCAGCACCACATACAAACAAAGATGTTGTGTCTGCCGAAAACTAAAAAAATAAATATTAAAAATTCTCTCTCTCTCTCAAAAAAAAAAAAAAAAAAAAAAGAGATAATGGCTGAGTTTTCCAAAAATGAGAGAAGACACCCATGTACAGATAAAGGAAACACAATGCATATCAAATAGAATAATTAAAAAAAAACCCTCCTAGATAAACCAAATCAAAGATTTTCAGAACAGTTATAGAGAAAGATGTAAATGTAGAATGCCACCTGACGGGCCAGACTTCCTCACAGGAACAATGAAAGCCCAAATAAGAATAGATTAACATCTTCCAAGTGTTGAAGAACCGTCCAACCAAAACTGTATGCACTAAGATCACCTTTACCATCAGTCTAGCCACACACACCGGGGAACCTTTCAGAAAACATAATTCTGGAAAGAAGGTCTGAGATACAAAAGAAGCGATGAACAGCAAAGCTAGCAAACACTGCCTGAATGACAAGTGGAGGCAATAATGTCCACATCAAGTGGTTTAAAAAAAAAAAAAAGACTAAGATGACAGACAATGATAACATAAGTTCCTGTATTTTTCGAGAGGGGACATTAATGATGTTATTCTTCATTAGGTGTTGTTAGGGTGAATATCCATGTCTCCCTAAAATTGGTATTTTGGGGAGTTGGGCCTGTGGGAGATGATTAGATTTTAGGGTCAATCCCTCATGAATGTGATGAATGACCCATGAGAAGGGACAGCTCTTAGCTGGGCCTGGTGGCATACACCTGTAATCTAGTGATTCAGGAGGCTGAGGCAGGAGGATCACAAGGTGGATACCTGCCTCAGCAACCTTGCAAGATGCTGTCTCAAAATAAAAAAGGGCTGGGAATGAACTCAGTGGTAGAATGCCCTAGCACAGAGGAAAAAAAGAGAGAACAAAAGCATGCTCGGGCACAAGAGCTCTTATTGTCTGTTCTAAGTCGTGGGAGGATGCCATCAAAAGACAGCAGTCTGCAAACCAGGAAGCAGACTGGGAAGACCTTGATCTTGGACTTGGCCTCCACAGCTGTGAGGAAATAAACGTGTGGTTTCACCTGCCCAGTCCATTATCATAAACTGACTAAAACGAGTATGAATGGGAACCATTAAAAGACAAGAAATGGTGGAACCACTAGGGAAGGTAAGACAAGCCTGAGAAATAAGGACTTAAGATATAAAAGCCAGTAAGAATAAAGAGAAAGACTACAAAAAGAAGGAGGAAAAGAACAACAAAGGAAAGAAGTTCAAACATATCAGTAACCAGAATAAAGGCAAATAGACTATTACCAGCTAAAAAGATTATGTATATTTTTTAAAGAACTAAGCATCCAACTAAGATAGGAGAAGAATTAAAACAAAAAAAAAAGAATAAACTAAAAAATGAATGTGAACACAAAAGACTTTATTCACATTCCACGGTCAGCTTCAAATGAAGTAAGACAAAGGAGTAGTACTAAAGGACAAGGTGGTGGCAACCTATCAAAGCCAGAGAATAACTTGGGTCAAGTACAAGTCATTCAAAAGCAGGTTCATTTAAGTGTCAGACTAGTTAGTCTCCAGAAAAGGGAGTTAAGCACCCTGGGAATGAAAACCAGTTTATATTATCCCCAGGTCACTACCCCTCAAACAAAACTAAATGCTTTTATAATCACAGCATAGAAAATAGCAGTTCTACCTGAAAGTTTACTCAGGATATTCTTTAAAAAGCTGAGCTAGATCACAGGACAACTAAAAACTTGGGGTCCATACTAACAGAACTCAAGAGGAAGAATCAGTTCAGAATAAAATAATGAGCACACATGAGAATTAAAGCTCTTGGTTACTACTAAAACTAAAATATCTGAGCTGGAAAATACCATTAACACCAGCCAGAAAACGTCACATTTCCAAATAGGAACCATTTTAAATCTAGACAGTTATATTTTAAGGCATCTAGAACCAATATAACTTTCTAATCAGCTGACTAGGCCTCTTAGAAGCTGGATGTAAAGAGCAATTTGGAGAAGTGGTTTCTGGGTTTTTTTGTTGGTGGTGGTGGTGATGCTAAGGTTTGAACTCAGGGGTACTTTACCACTGAGCTGTCCCCAGCCCTTTTTATTTTTTGAGACAGGGTCTCACTAAGTTGCTCAGGGCCTCACTTTGCTGAGGGTACCCTTGAACTTAAGATCCTCCTGCCTCAACCTCCCAAATCACTGGGATTACAGGCCTGCATCACTACGCCCAGCTGAAGAGCTGTTGTGTCTATTTAGTTCAGTCAAGAGATTTATTCCTCTTGGTTACCAGTTGCTCTGATCATATTCTGTGGCTGTTATATACTTTATTTCTGAAATCTCAATCTAAGTCAATCCCAGTACAGTGCTGCCCCCAGGCTACCCTACCCACTGAATCTGATTAATTTGCATATCACTTTAACAACTAAAGCAGAGATTTAGAATAACAACCAGATTATACCAACCTTGAAGTACTTTCTCTTTGTTCAATCTTGTTTCCCCACTAAAATAGAAAGAGGGAGGAAAAAACTTTAATATCAAGTTATGTCATTTTTGAAAAGAAGAAAACTAGCTATGAAGGGTAATGATATTCATAAAGATCATCTGAATCATACCACACTTCATAATTGAACCTATAAAAATGCAATTCATTCTAGAGCTCTACTGATGAGCTCAAAATTTCAAACTACCCCAAATTAAAATGTATAGATTAGGAATCAATCTTAAATAAACTGCAAGAGTATAATGCTATTTTTAAAATATTTATATATGTGCATACATTATTTTTGTTAAATAATCTTGTCAAAATAAATATATTACTCAAAATTACTTTCAAAGACAGAACCAAAACATGAAGATCAGTCCTTATATTGCTGACCTTGAACTGAGCAAGGGAAAGGGCATTGGAATGGAATGGGAAAGAAGGAACATTTTGTAGTACTGAACACTATCCTGCAAACCACAGCACACTGAACTGAGGCTTGGACACTACAATTTTAGGAGTTAAAAAACAAAACAAATTCAAACAGCCTTGAAACAATGAGAAGGGTGAGAGGACTAGAAAAACTGGTTACCAGGTAACTGGGGAAATGGAGGTTGGAAAGGAAAGAGGAGAGGGGAGTACATGGGCAAGACCAGATGACACGGTAGACCAATAAAAGCAATCCTCAAGTAAGTAAAAAGTAGAATCAAGGAGAATTCAGTTAAAACTCTTGTGCTTTAATCAAATGTTTCTTGAGCCATGACTAGGCTGCGTAGGCTCCTGACCATTGTGATCAATGGCTGCCTGGAGCAATGGATCTCAAACTTGAGCCTCATCAGAATTAACTGGTGGGCTTATTAAACCACAGCCCTGATGCTAGGAATACCTGCATTCACTCATATTAAAATTATTTCTAATAGAAAAGATTATAAATATTCCAAATGTACATTGACAGGAAGTTGGTTTCCCTAACCGTAGCTCAAATAACCATTTATTAATGGTTTCATTAACAAATAAATAGTGATATATCTACCTAATGGAATAATGTGTAGCAAGCAGTGTCTTTAAGAGAGAGACTTACGTAAAGATACTAATTAAATAGAAAAATCATGGTATAGAATAAAATAAAAAGAACATCACCTTTTTAGGAAGGAGGGAAATAATATTTGGATCTGCACAAGAAACACTGGAAGGATACACAATGAAACTAAGAAACAGTCATCTATGGGTGGGGAAAGAACAACAGGGAGAATTGTTTTGATTTCTAAAAATGTTTATTTATTAGCTTACAAATAAAAGTATGATAAATGAAATTACTATACATAGAAGTATTTACGCCTTGGCAAAACAAATAGTACTAATTCATCATTATTATCCAGAATTCATTTGGAATCCTAATGGACACAAAAGTGAAAATTAACCTCTACCCTGCAGATGGATCAGAAGCATCCAGGGCAAGTTTGAGGAACTCTGTCATCTCTCACCTAGAAAATGGTGTTACGCATTAGATTCACTTTGTATCTCAACCTCATAATCTTGCTGAGATGAAGAATAAAAGAACTGCTGCTAAAGTTACCAAAAATGAAACAACAGTAATTTGATAGTTTTGTAAAGGCACTTCCCACCATCTAATGATTTTGGCAAAAGGAGAAAAATAGCTGTGATGTAATGCGGGACTTCTTTTAGCTATTTGTCAATAAAGACTGCTACAGAACTAACTGTATTATTATAATCACTGGCTTTTGCTTTTAACTTGTGTTGGGTATTTGCCTTCAAACTACTTTATAAATATTACACAGTAGGAATCCAAAAGTTGCATTTTCCCTAAAACTTTTATTAAAATTTTAGAGCTTTTATTAGCTTTACCAAGATTACATAAATCCTTGAAGCAAGTGTTTAAAATTAGTTTGGGGAGTGGAAACTAGATGGATAAAATAGTTTTAACTATTAATCCATTTTCCTTAACCAAAGCTTGGCTTATGACAGAGGCAGAGAAGAGGTGGCAGCTGAAAGGTCAGAGGGATATATTCTGAAGGAGTCAAGAATAACACCACTCATTTTCAAAACTGTAGTGTGATCCACTTCCAAAATACAACACCCAACTCTGCAGGAATCTAAAGACTTATGCCAAGAAGTGAAGTCTTATGACGAGCCATTTATAGGCCCACAAATATGCATCATTCATTTTGTAGTTTATCATACTGTTTTTCACTTAAAAGTTTTTTTTTTTTTTTTTAGTCCAGATTTATATTCTGTGGAATTTCTTTAGAAATCATATGAAGCTTAATTTCCCCATTATGTCCTCTTGAGGGATTCAAATTCAACAGACAATACTCAGTTTGCCATACCAGAGAGACAAATCAAGGGAAATAAGTATTTACTCATTAGTATACATTTTCAGAATAAATATGCTTTATTGTACATGGAAATATAAAACTTTCTGATATTTACTCATGAATACAGCTTAATTCTAATTCCTTTACAATTAATTCATTTGCAAACAGAAGATTTCAAAGGTTAGTAATATATGGACTTTCAGTAGACAGTTTGAGTGGAAAAACACTCATAAGGCCAGGCACAGGGTGCATGCCTTTAAAATTAGCAACCTGGACAGTTGAGGCAGGGTGATCATTAGTTCAAAGCCAGTATCAGCAACTTAGCAAGACCCTAAGCAACTTAGCGAGGCCCTTAGCAACTTAGCAAGATCCTGTCTCAAAATAAAATATAAAAAGGGCTGGGGATGTGGCTCAAAGGTTAAGCACCCCTGGGTTCAATTTCTGATACAAAATAAAACAAAAATAAAAACACTTGTAAAATAGCCAACTCCTGATACATTTTTTGTTTATATATAGAGCATCCTGGTTGCAAAGGCTCCCCTCAGTTGACCACCCCAATACCTAGGAACCAATATCACAGTAATATAGCAATTACATATATCTTTATAAAAATATTAAATTGCAGATAATTTAATACTGCTTTGCTTTTTTAATGTCTAAATCAATGACTAACATTTAACAAAAAGTAATTGCTAACAGGTAGAATAAGAAAGGGCAGTTTGGCTATGCACAGCTTTACTAACTGATCATCTTTAAGTCATCAAATATAAATTAAATATACTTTATAGAAAAAGAGTTTTATAAGTCAGTTGGAAGTAAAATGATGGCTTGCAAGTGACTGACTGCAAACAGTAACAAAAAACAGTTCAAGGAACCAGGGCCTTCAACAGCCTTGTGTCGGGTGTTCCAGAGCAAGGGCCAACTGCAGGGATGAGGCAGCCACAGCCCTCTTCTCTCACTGGTCTTCTGAGTGGGAACCTGATCATTCTCCTGCTCCAATGCATTTGTATTGCCAAGAACCCATTCCCCTTGTGATTTCACCCATCTCATCTCCAGCATGCCATCTGGGACCACTTTTCATTGCCTGTAAGCTCCTAAACCACATCCTGCCCTTTGGTATGGGGACAGGAGAAAAGCAAAATATGAGATTTAGGGTATGGGAAGTACCTTCAAGACCTGTGACACCTCATTAGACACAATGAGATAAAGAGATTAGACTTGGGGACTTACCAAAGAACTTCTGTCTCCTGGAGGCCATCTGAATGAAGTGGGCTGGCGGCAGACCCAGCACCTTCAACAAGCACAGCATAGTTGGTTCACTCTTGGTGAAGTCACAGATTCAAAGACTGTTAAGAGCTAGGTGGGACTTTGGCCACATTTTGCCTTTTACAGATAAGAACTTGAGGATATTAAGTGATGACATCAAGTCAGTAGCATGGCGGACCCAGAGCTCATGTCTCCAGGGCTGTCTCAGTATCTTAAGATTCACATGCTATTCTAAACATACATCAGCACCAACAAAGGCAAGCCACCTTGATAGCAGCCAGATCTCAATGTCGGTACATGCTGATCACATTGAATTAGGAATGACACACCCCAGCATGGAACACCTGGAAGAGAAGGGAGGGAAAGGAGATACAAATCACCAGAGAAGGCATTTCTTGTAAGATAAATTCCTTCTTGGAAAGAAAAGTGTAGGCCTACTTATTCACTTTTCTCTACTGAACCTTATAGGAGTGTACAGATAAAGAAATTTATGGGTTGCTCTCAGCCCTAGGTTTCTGGCCATAATCCATGCACAATCCTGCCTTCTTGCTCCTCAACCCTACAGATATCAAGGGGAAACTGAGTCAGTCCTGGGGCAGTGGGAAGCTCAAGCCAGATGCCCCATTCACCTTGGTATTAGAAGCAGGAATGGTTCAGGGATATTTCATAAAATCATTACTAACCTTAGAAGTCATCTGGTCTGACCCCTTCATTTTCCAGTCCAGAGTGGGAAATGACTTGCCAAAAAGTCAGAACAAGGGCTAGACCCCAAACTTACTAACTCCCAGGCCAGTGTTGATTCCACCATAGTTACCATTTCTAGATATTTTCATCTAAATTATTTTAATATTTTATTATTAGTTTCAAACAACAAATGAAATCATTTATATTTAATACTTCTCAAAGGCATGTGTCACTGATTAACTTTGAGACAATCTAGAAAACAGAAATTTAGCTTTTGATTTAGAGAGATTCACGGTCAAACTTTTATCAGTTTACTAGGAAAATCCTAAAATTTGAATTTTTCAAATTTTTAGTTATTTTCTCCATTTTGTCTAGTTTAGCTCTACAAGAAAACTTCATTGAAAAAAAAAATGAGATGTGATTAATAATCCTGTGATGAGTCTTAGTAAAGCCTTTTTACTGGGAAATAGTCCTCCCAGGTTAAAAGAGCAAAAGTCATTACTGAACGCTACCTATTTTTTGTCAGATAATTTCCAATTATTTGTTTCAGCTGATAGGTTGATAAAAATAATTTCTGATGATAGATCATTATTCAACTGTTACACAGAATTCAAAAAAAGTCATAGAATGAGACAACATAACTAGAACAGCTTTCCTTCCTGGGTTCACATCTTTGGAATCAATGTATTGTAATGGCCTGGTCCTGAGCCTGTTCATTGTAGCAAGAAGTAATGTTGGGGCTGGGTTTGTGGCTCAGTGGTACAGCACTTGCCTAGCATGTGTGAGGCACTGGGTTCAATTCTCAGCACCACATATAAATAAATAAAATATAGGTCTATCAACAACTAAAAAAAATTTTTTTAAAAGAAGTAGTGTTCACTTACAGGTATAAAAATTAATGGGAAAAAGAGAAAACTCAGCTCCATTTATTCTTCTAAGAGGTATATACAATGTGAAGTAAAATTTCACATTTTATGCCTACTAATTATCTTAATTTATGCACTAGTTCTATTTTAGTGATCTCTTGAGAAAAAAATTCTACACATGGAGCTTATGATAATAAAAATTTGAAGTTATAGTGATTGATATATTTAAAAATAAAGCTATATTAAATTAGAATAAAATTCTATATATGAGGTAGAATTTAAAAAGTTCATTCAAGGAGGAAAAAGAGTTAAAGAAAGGTACAACTGTTAAAGAACTTATTCATGTCCTTTTAAAGGTAGATTTTGGTGGGTATTAGGTCACTCTTTTTTTTTTTTTTAATTCTTTTGGCTATATTTGAAAGATTGCTTTAACAGTTTTATTTTTAAATGTCACAATTTACATTAAGGGGGAAATGGCATCCTTTGAAACTATGTAAATTTATAATAAAAATGTTAGTTCTCAAAAATGTACAAGAAGTATGTAACTTCAAAAACACTTTTAGGGAAACTTTGACCAAAGGAAAAAAAAAATAGTATGCAGGCCACTGCCCTTGATGAGTCTGATGTAGCTCCATGTCAGGACTGAAGCCATCCAAGGACATCAACCAAGCAGGCCTTCCTCCTCACCTCCATGATGCAGGCCAGCTGCTCCACCTCATTCTCCCCGGGGAACAGAGGGTAACCCGTGTACAGCTCTGCCAAGATGCAGCCCAGGCTCCACATATCAATGGCCATATTGTAGGGGTGACCCAGAATCACCTCAGGGGTTTGGTAGAACCGGCTCTGGATATAGGTGTATACTGTTAGGGCAAAAAGAGAAATCTGATGTGGGCAAGCTGGCTTTCTCTCCAGGGCCCCCTCTCCAGGATAGTTTGGCAATTAAAGATGGCAGATAATTTAGAATCCCCCTATCCCCACCTTCTTACCCTATTGAGCTCTGCAAGATGAAAGTAACATCAAAAACAAAACATCATCAAATCCTCACAACAACCTGATGATTGATAAGGAACTCCAAAGTAGGCATTGTTCTGAGCAAGTTAAAGCAGGGTACTTTAAAATACTTTATGTCAGACAAGTTTTTAAAGAAGCAAACCATAACACTAATATAAACTAAGTTTTCAAACTGTCAGGTGAGCTTTGGAAAGATAATTTCTGACAGTATTGTGATTTGGCACTGGGGGAAGCATATCAGAATTGGAAGTGTACAAAATGCAAAATTTAAATTCAATGTCTATTCAATATATTATATATATATGTATAGATATATATATAGTATATATATATATCTATATATATATACTATATATATATCTATACATATATATATATATATATATATATACTATATATATATACATATATATATATAGTATATATATATATATAGATATATATATATTTATTGTATAATGAAGTACTAAAAGAAAAGCTCAACAAAAATCTCAGCAAATAAAGATAGAAAGAAGATTATATCGTAGGGGGCCTACATTTTATAGATAAGGAATCTAAAACCAGGGAAATGGAACATTTTGATTTTTCCTATGTTGTGATTTCCTGGATTGAGAGGGGCTATAATCACTTCTTTAATGTTTAGATTGGTTATAAGAATGTAATAATTCTGTAACTTAAAATAAATGTTTGATTAAAAACAACTTTTATACCATGCCTTTTCCAAAATGAATTTGAGTACTATGCCAAGTTCATATATATAGGGTACTTTAAACCATAAATTTAATGGCACCTGTGTGGTGCTTAGCATGTGCCAGGCACTATCCCAAGTGCTTTATGTAGATGAATTCTTCCAATCCTTACAAAAGCCCTATGAAGCAGGTACAATTTTTGTCTCAATTTTAAAGATAAGAAAACTGAGGTTAAATGAATTGTCAAGGTCATTCAGCTTCCAGTGAACAGAGCTGGGAATTGAAACCAAGAAGTCCAATTCCAGTATCCATACTCCATAGTGCCTCATAGTCAAAGATAAAAGGAAAGTCAGGAGAAATATAAAGGAGGACGTTACTGTCAGAAAGCAAGTATACAGTAATTGCAAACTCAGTTCTGAGCATCCTGGCAGCCCAAGATAAATAGCAACTAATAGGTTAATACAGTTGCCAATATCTAAAAAGAGTAAACATACAAGTTCTTTATGGGGAGCATTGTTTTCTGGATGGAATTCTTATAGGATCCATATGGAAAAATATATTAAGGAGATAGGTCCTCCAAAGTGGTTCTGCAGACTATTTGGGAATACCTATCCGATAGTCCTTTCTGCAGCCTAAGAGGGCTCCCTCTGACACATTCTGACACCAGGAAGGCTGGTCCCACAGTCTTTTTGTGTGTGCGTGCCCTTAATAGAGCCTGTGTATCTTCCCAATCATTCTACCTATTTTATTTTACTTTTTTTTTTTAATCTTTCTGTCTCTTACATTATACATAAGCAACCCAGGACAGGTAATATTTCATGTTTTGGTTTTGGTACCCAAACCAGCAAATGATGAATACCAGGAAATAGACATTTGTTGAATGGTACATGTTTTCTACATCAGTCTTGACAAAAGCCAAGTTAATTGAACTTAAATCAAATCCAATAAAGGTTGATGCAAATGTGCTCCAGGGCTACTTCCTGCATTCTAGTTTGGAAAAAAAGTACAAAGCCTAGAGAATCTAGGACAGTAAATCCCAAACATTAGAATGGCTGTTTTCTAAAGTGCAAACTCCTGTGCACTCTCCAGAAATTTAGTAGGGTGAGGTCCTGGAAACTATAATTTTTCAAAGCCCCAAGGTGTTTCTGATACACATGTAGTTAGTTTTGTGACCCAATGTTTATTGGTAACTTCATGTCCACAGAATATAAGATCTTTAAAGAGCCTCTATGGTATTTGAATCTAATTTCTCATTTTATAGATGAGGAAACTTAGGCTCAGAGAAGTGAAACACCTTGTTCAAAATCATACTAGTAACCCTGGATGGCTGATCCTAGATTGGAACCCAGGTAGTCTTGTGTGTAAACGAAGAGAAATTGCAATGGGAGAACTCAGACAGTGGGGAACCTACCTTTCTGGTGCTCATAACAACTGGACCCAAAGTCAATAACTTTAACTGCGATTTGGCCCTTTTGGTATAGCACTATATTTTCCTAGCACAAAGAGAAAAAAGACAGGTCAAGTTTATAAAAATTAATGTTGTCCAAGGTGCTCCACTTACTTAAATGCTCACCCCTACAGGGCCTAGTTCAAATCTGACCACCTTCAAACTCCTCCTCTGGCATCTTCTCCACATTCCATTGTACTCTCTTGCTCTTATTTCCCATTGATTTGTAGTCTACACCTTCTTTGGATTCATTATTCACTGTTTTGCATGTATCTTTCCCCATATTGATTATGTAACTCCTGAAGATGGTGGGTTTATTAATATCTTCTTCCACACCCAGTTCTGTGCCTCACTTGCCTTACAAATATCACTGAATTGGTTTAATGCCCCTGTAGACCTACCACTATGACAATAAAGAACATAAATAAACAAATAAATAAATAAGTAACTAAATAAGTTAGATTGGGGTTTGTGTGTCTCACACTGACTTTGCGGAACCCATGAAATGACAAGGTCGAACTTCTGGGCTATCCTTTCAGCACTGGCTGAGGTTGGAAGATTAAAGTCCTACTTGTGCCTCAAGGATCTCACGTCAAATGAATGGATCATGTGATTGCGTGCTGAGTACATAACATGGCACATATGACATAGCAGGCCTCTTCTGAAGCCTCTGGTACCAAAACTAAAAATCCAAATTTGCTCCACGGTATCTTTTCTAAAGAATGTTTGTGTTGATGCAAGGAGGATAATTAGCAGAAATCTTAAAAGAATTTCTAGTAAGTCTCTAGCCCAATGGAAAGAAGACCCCTTCACTAGATGGGGCTGGCCCTTTGTTATGATAAAAGCCCAAAGTTTGCTGTGTGGAAGGCTTAGTCATCAGCCTATGGCACTGTGGAGAGGTGGTAGGTCCTTTAGGAGCTGGGACTAATTGGAGGAAGTTAGGTCACTGAGGTTGTGCCTTTGAAGGGGATATTGGGACCCTGTCTCTTTCTTTGGTTCCCAGCCGCATGAGGTAACAGCTTTGCTCTGCCATGAACTCCTAATGCCAGGTTCTGCCTCATCACATGGTTGAAGCCATTCAACCATGGAGTGAAACCTCTGAAAACTGTGATCCAAAACAAATCTTTCCTCTTTGTAAGTAGTTTATCTCAGGTATTTTATCACAGGGACCAAAAGCTGACTACCATACCCTCTCATCTCCCATCTTTTTGGTAGAAAGAATTCCAGGGAAGGGACAAATGCAATGAGCTATCATAGCTCATCCATACTAACCATGAAGTCCATAAGAATAATTCCCTGATTCTTTACTCACAAAATACCCTGCTGGTTGTGTGTATGTTTTCCAAAGGGATGCACCTATTTGGTCTACTTGATATACTTTGCCAAGGAAATCTGTTACTTTATATTTTAGCCATTAAGTGTCTTACAGATTTCCTTGGTGAAAGTCACTTCCCTAAGCCCAAGAACCATGGGCATTGTGAATTTTTGGAACCGCAAAGCTAAAGGTTAGGAATTTGGAAATGGAGAACAAAGCAATGTCCTCCCATATCTTTACAATATTAAGTTACAAAAAATATCCTCAATTTTATTTATGAGTAACAGTTTAAAAAAATTAAATCATGTTTGGGGGTGCAGAGAAGGGAGTAAGGAACTTAAGGGATATTCACCTTGTGAAGGTCAGATTACTTTTGGAACGAGCGTTCCTCACATGTTGTCCTTAGCTACCTCTATAGTATTACTTCTTCATATTGGCAATCATTGGCTCATTTAACAAGCATTTATTTATTGCTTTCCATTATTCTCACAGGCACCATATTAGGTCCTGGGGACATAACAGTCTGACCTTGGGAGAGCTTGCAGTCCAGTGGGAGACACAGAATGAGCTAAGAATACAATACTAGCATGACAAGTAAGAAGGGCACAGCCACTGAAGGAGAGGAAGTGGTCTGAGGTGGGCCATACCTGAGGAGCAACACAGAGTACAGTGGATCTAGTAAGGACTTAGCAGAGCAGAGTAGTAGAATGATCCATCTACGTGAATGGCACAAGCCTCTGCAGAACAGATAAGGGAAAACTCTAGAATCCAGCAAGAATTCTTAAGAACTATAAGCGACTAATGATTGAAAGGGCAAAAGTGGGTAAACCCAGACCCCCACAACTACTTGTGGAACATCTTGATGCTCAAGACAGCCACCACCCACCCCTACCACTTCTGCAGGAAACCCCTCTGGTTCTTAGCTGCCTCAAGTACACTACACCTCTCTTAGTCCTGCTTCACTGCATCTCACTTAGCCTATAAGCAGGAAATTTAGGGCTGCCACTCTGGAAGCCCTGGCCATGCTGGCTGCCCTAACTGCCACTAAAGAGAACCTGCTCTCCTGGCAGGACAGAGGTTATACTCACAGGCTTGAGATCACAGTGGATGATTTTCTCTACGTAAAGCATTTGCAAGCACTTCAATACAGAGAGCATGAAGTGCCGAACTACCGATAGACTGAAACCTTGAAAGCTATTACTCTTCATCAACTCATATAAGTTGATTCTGGGAAAGACAGAAAAAGTGATGAGTATAAAAAGCATCCAAGTTTGAACCTTCAAGTAATCCTGTGTTATCTGGATTCCCTTCTAGAAGCAAGTAAATCTCAAATCAGTAGGCAAGGTTTTTCTTTCTGATAAACTGAGCCTTCTCAGTGACTCAGGGTAGACCCAGATTGGCACTCAAACATGCTGGATTCTCCAATGCACCCTGATTTCTTACATGACAAAGCCACTTAAGTACTTCATTTACATGTGTGGGTTCAGAGATTGGATCAAATTTCTATAATAGTCATAGTTCTCAGGCCCTTGGAAGGGCCCCGGAAGCCCACTAGTCACTCAACCAAGTCATTCCTACCCTGACCTAACAAGATTATCTAAATATTGTAGGTAAAGGAGAAAGAGAGTGTGCTGACAAGAGCTAAGGTAAATGAGGGACTCCTACTCCATTAAAGACAAGTGTGGCTGCTTGGTCCCATCTAACTGTGGCTTTGCTATAATGAAGGCTGGCTCTTGCCAGATAATCCTCAGTTCTCTAGAGAGGTAGAATCCTGAAATATTATATAAAAGCATATTCAATTATATGAAATCTGCTAACTTACAAGTCTTGGAAACTAATGCTAAGCATTTTAAAAAGAAAAACTTGTTTGTAAATTGCCAGTTTGTGATCTCTCTGCAAACTGTGAGACAAAGATAGGAAGGAAAGAAAAGGACCTAGAAATGACTCTGCAGGCTCTTCCTGATCTTCCATTTCTAAGATTATCTAGCCTTGGTGGTATTTAGAAAGCCATATTTTTTGTACCAGGAATTGAACCCAGGGACACTTAACCACTGAGCCACATCCCCAACACTTTTTTATATTTTATTTAGAGATAGGGTCTCAATAAGTTGCTTAGGGCCTTGCTAATGGCTGAGGCTGGCTTTGAACTTGCAATCCTCCTTTCTCAGTCTCTTGAGCTGCTGGGATTACAGGTGTGCACCATTGTGCCTGGCAAGCCATTCATTCTTGAGAGGTACACCATCCTGACCTGGGCACCTCCACCTTACTAGGCTTAGGATTCTCCTTCTACACACTGGCCTCTCTTGACCTCACAGAGCCCTTTTAAAGTACAATGATGTCCTAACTGGGCATTGTGATTAATGGGCAAGAAAGGCAGCCTGGACTGTCTGTTTTGCTCCACAGAAGACGATGCCCTGTTGCATATGGTAGGATAGAACACATTTTGTAATTATCAGAGATGGTGAGGGGAGTGCCCATGCTCCCTCTCAAATATAGCCTGTTCCTAGAACCTCACTATCAGTGATGGTGTCGTGGGAGCACCAAGTACTAACTCAGGGAATCCAGAAACATATGTCTTCTAAGGGTTCACCCTGATTTTTCTCCTTTGCTAAATGTCTTCTGGGCTTGTTTAAATTGCAGCATATTGACTTCTCAGAGAAGAATAATCAAATTAGCATGCATTTTCCCATTTAGAATGCTTTTTCAGTTCCAATATTCACCCAAATGATTTCAATCTATTTAAATCAAGACTCTGCTCTCTTACCCAAAATATCTGCCCTTCTCCTTCTTTACTCAGAATTAAAGTCCTTTTCCCACTCTGATCATCCAGCTTCCTGTTCTTTTAGGTTTCAGCCTCTATACCATAGAGATGGGAAGCCAGTGTGTGGGGAACATGATAGCAAAGAAAGTCCTTTTAAACATGTTTCAAGTTAGCTCTTGAGGGCAGAGGCCTTGTTTTGGACTTTCCACCTACTCAGTACTTAGTCCTCAGCACCAGGGAAGCACAACATGAGTATGCTGGCAGATAACAGGTTTACTGAGGAATGGGGTGAGATCTCCGTTTTGGGTCCCGTTCTCCCCACTCCTGGACCTGCTAGATAACTGTGCGACTGCTATGTCTACACTAGTCACTAGATATTCACGCCCAGAAAAATCTAGTTTTATGACTTCAAAGTTTTTCTTCAAGTTCCCTTAAGCAACTTTTCAAAAGAAAATGAATCAAAAAGACTGACCCCAAAAGTTCAAAGGTGATGCAGAGGTGATTCCGGAAGTAGAAAAAGTCCTTCATGTGTACCACATTGTACTTGTTGTCTTTATCCTTCCTTCTGAGGACTTCCAGGATCCTCAGCTCCACCAGGGCCTGGTAGTGAAATCTGAGGTGATTGGGGAGTGGCAGGGAGGGTGGGGAATGAGGACAGAAAACACAGGTATCATGTCATAGCGCAGCAATTAGCCCGTTTTCTCAGACCCTACCACAACCCCAACAGAAATGTCTAACACCGCAGAAAGCACTAATAACTCCACACTCTTACTTCCGCTTTGCCCCTTCATGGACTCAGACATGAAGAGAGAGAAATAGGAAAGGGAGAATAAAGAGAAATATAAGAGGAAGAGGCAGAGGCAGAAAGGTTTAGAGTCCTGAAGCAGCTAGAAGCCAGGCAATCCATCTTCTATGGCCTATGTCATCCATGGAGCCACACCTCTTTTTGTTCCTGATGATTTTCAGGGCCATCAACTCATTGTTTTTGTGATCCAAGCACTTGGCCACCTGTCCAAAGGACCCTTTTCCAATCATCTCCAGAACCTCGTAGCGGTAGGCAATGTGGTCATGCAGGACCTGCAGAAGCCAGGCCAGAGGTGAGGAAAAGAGCCAGACCCTAGGGCCCTTGGATCCCCATCCCTAGGTCATGGGTCACTCCTTGGAGGGGAGTGGTTCTGAACTCCCACCCTTCTTTCTGTTACTGTAGTGATTAGGTGATCTCCTGGATCCAAGACCACCCATGTGGTGCCAGGGGCAGTTAGTTCCACAGGCTCCATCCATGTCAAGCAGTGAAAAGAACATTAGTTAGTCTTTGGAAATGTTGGGTGCTAGTCCCAGCCCTTTGGTTTCCTGCATGTCTTTCTTGGGACCTAAAAAGTAAGGGGGGCTGGATAAAACTGAAAGTCCTTTCTATTTTGGACATTTCATGACTCTTCAAGTTCAACATCAGCTCCCTTTTAGGGGAGTTCTATCTCTGACCCTTGATGTGCCTCTATCAATCAGAGAAGGCTTTATGCCTGTTCTGTTCCTTCCTGACCAGATTTGTTCCTCTCTTATACTTATTCATATTTAGTCCCCTTCTGAAGTTAATACAGACTTCTTGGTGAGAGTAATATTTTCTAAGAGCCAGAATCACCCATGACTATCCTTGTGCAAGAAACCAGGTGTTTAGTTAAAACCACAGGAAATTTTCCATTAAAGACTTGAGCTAGATGGCTTCAAATAAGTCACTTATGTACTCTGAGCTAGAGTGACGGCATCTGTGAAGATGAAGATGAGAATCTGGATAAGATGATTTCTAAGGTCATCAGGCTCTTGATCTCAGCTTTCTACAATTACACATGAATTTGAAAGAGGTGAGGGATGAGCGTGTACAAGTTTTCAGGTTGGTTTGTGACTGTGTGTTTGAGGATAAAGGATTATTCACAAAGAAGAATCAACACCATAAATTTGAGCATGTAAAACATTTTACTGATACATCAGAGAGGGTTAGTCTAGACTAAAAGATCTTTCATGAAAATGGGACAGAATCTGCACAAATTTGGCATATATTTTTCAAGAATTTACATTTATCTTCTTCATGTCATCAGTTTGGTTGCCTCATAATTATTGGCTTACATGTCAACTTGGACTTTGGTTGTGCTTACTTGACTCATGATAGTTCCCTTTGTATTTTCAGAGTCTAATAGATTCCAAGCTTATGACAGGTGCTCAGTAAATAATTTTACAATTAACATTTGTTGTGAGAATGTAGCTATCATTTGTTTAGGAATTATATATTTGTGTATATGCTGGAATAAAATAGGAATAAAAATTGGAGCTTACAGAGAATGCACATTATCCCTCTCTCCCCATGCAAATCATACTTCTCTAAGATTTGGGACTAAAGAACTGAGTTCCAGTGAATTCCCATAAAGGTAGTATTGACACCCCAGCTAATTTCTTAGAGACTCTAGACTCAGGTAGGGCAAAGCAAAGGAAGGAGCAAGGAGTGAGGGGTTGTGGACATGTGGTTGAATTGGAGAAAATGTTTATATTGAAGATTCTTAACCAAGGACCCATTAATGCCCCAAAGCATTGCACATACACAGCTTAATGTTTCTGGGATGAAGATACTCAAAGGGATCCTTGACCTAAAATTGTTAAAAACCAGGGTTCTAGATGAAGAGTGAGTGATAAAATCACATCCTTGCTTCTTAGAAGTGTTACCTAAGGACCTGTGGTATAGGCTTCACCAAGATGCTTTTCAGAAATGCAAAATCTCAGATCCCACCCCAGACCTGCTAAACACAAATCTGCACCTGAACAGAAACCCAAAGTGATTTGTGTGCACAGTCAAACTTGAGAAACATGATGTTAAGAAAATTTATCTCTTCTATGAAGCCCTCAAAGATTCATATCCTAAAACCAAATTGTGATGGAATTTCCAGAAGTAGGAAAGTGCAGACAGCTCACAGCCTGGTGGACTAAGTGTCACTCATGCAGGCATCCTCAGAAGAGGGGGTCACTGTCCAGAATTCATCCTCAGGTGAGAAAGAGGCATTACCCTGGGATCCCCAGGGGTACAGTCAGAAAAAGAGGAGTCTCTGCAATCAATTTTTGAAAAATGGAATGAAGTAAAGCACTGTGCACGAGGGACACTACAGTGACAAAAACTATTCTTATCTGTGGAGGGAATGACATCTGCTATAAAACACAAAAGGAGCCATGAATAGGCTTGTGTGGAGGAGACAAAAAGGGAGATTGAGGGGCAAGTGCATCTTACTCCAGTCTGATCTTTTCCAAGGGGTCCAGGACAGTGCAAGAGAATAGCCTGTGAGAGTTCACTCAGGATGCAAACTTGTTATCCCAAATACCCTTGAAGAAAATCACCATTCTGTTAGAAGATTTTGCATACTAAATTTCATGTTTAAACAAGGTGTTTATTTGGTTTAGCACTCATTAGCATCTGTTGGAATGTCTAGTTCCTGTCATCTCAACACAAAACATTATAAAATATCCCCTTTTGCTTTCCTTTCCATACTCTCTGTTGCACCCAAGCCACCTGAGGTCACCATGACCTCCTCCCTCATCACCTTCAGATAGGAGCCATGTTCATCATCAAAACTTGTCTTGCTGAATTTCTCTGGAGCCACATTGAGTTTCTCAGCATCAAGCCCCAGGGACCATAGCTCTGTGTAGCCCAGGATTTCACTTTGCTCATAAGGAGACAGCTTACTCTTAAAATTCTTTAGGGCTTCTAAGTGAAAAAACAGGATAATTGTTAGTTAAGTTGAGGCAACAAGGGTATTACCGAAAGTGCAGATGATGTGATGTCTTTTCTAGTTCATGAGCCTTTTCCTCAAATAGGTGGTTTCTTAAAGATAATGCATGGAGAATATTCCCACGAGGAAATATAACAAGGATAAATGCCAAGGGTTTGGAACTATTTTAAAAAATTCAATATGACAACACAAACGTAAGGGAAAAGAGAATTTAGTGCCCCAAGAGCTATGGGTTGCTGCAAAATATGAATTATTATTATTATCATTATTATTATAAATATTTAAAATAATAAGTCCAGAAGTAAAGCCTATAACAATAGTGTACCATTAAGGTGATATTTGTCCAAGTTCATGTGGAATCAGGTCAGACAAATAGTTTATTTTGAGAAGGTTTGAAAACTACAAGTTTTCTGGACCAGGCAGGTGACATAAAAGCAACTTTAAAAGTCCAGTGGTATAGTCCAAGGAGAAGGATACCTGGGTCAAACTAACAGTGGTTCTAGTCCCAGATTTCCAAGGAATCTCCATACTGCTTTCTAAATTGGCTGTACCAATTTGCAGTCCCACCAGTAATGTATGAGTGTACCTTTTTTAAAAAACAGCATACTATAGGAACACAGCCACATCCATGTTTATAGCAGCACAATTCACAATAGCTAAACTGTGGAGTCAACCTAGATGCTCTTCAGTGGATGAATGGATAAAAAAAATGTGGCATATATACACAATGGAATTTTACTCAGCAATAAAAGAGAATAAAATCATGGCATTTACAGGTAAATGGATGGCATTGGAGAAGATAATGCTAAGTGAAGTTAGCCAATCCCCAAAAAACAAATGCTGAATGTTTTCTCTGATATAAGGAGGCAGAGTCATAGTGGGGTAAGGAGGGGGAGCATGGGAGGATTAGATGAATTCTAGATAGGGGAGAGGGGTGGGAGGGAAAGGGAGAGGGCAGGGGATTAGCAAGGTGGTGGAACATGATGGACATCATTATCCAAAGTACATGTATGAAGACTCAAATTGGGTGTTAATATACTTTATATATAAACAGATATGAAAAACTGTGGTATATAAGAATTGTAATGCAAAAAAGTACATGTATAAAAGCATGAATTGGCATGAACATACTCTATATACAAAGATATGAAACATTGTGCTCTATATGTAATGCACTTCTCTATCGTGTATTTAAAAAAAACAAAATCAATAAAACTAAAAAAAAAAAAAAGAAAAAAGAAAAAAAGTCCTGTGGTTACTCCCAATCCGGCCTGCAGGGGAGCCAGCTAATACTTCAAACCATAGAGGAAATGCTTGTTAGTGCCTCTCTAATCTACATGAGACAGATCACATGAGCGTTTGTGTTAGGGCAAGGGGGGCCAGGTGGGGAGTGAGATTCACACTTGAATAAAATGAAGAGTACTCAGAGACAGGAAGCCAGGATCAGGGTAGCAGGCACCATGTTATTTGACAAACTGCTGAAAAGTTGAACTGTGAGGAGAAAGAAAGAAAAAAAGACATAGAGCACAAGGCCACTGTCTTCATATACCCGAAGAGCAGTCATGTCAAAGCTAAATAAGGCATGTTCCTTGCCCAAAGGACAGAATCAGGACCCAAGATAGAAGGAGGCAGATACCATCTCTGTAAAGGCAGAATGAACTCAGAACTGAAATCATCTCCTGGCAGGAGGGTCACTCCTGAGATCATTTAAAAAGGACAACAATTTCAACTTCAGCACTGTGGCAGAAAAGCTGTGAGCAGTGGACAGTGTTGGCATATGGTAAGTGCTAAGTGGACTTTGGTTCTCTTCCTTTGAATCCTAAGAGGTCATGAAATCTCTGAACTTCGTGAGGAGTGTAGCTCCTGCCAGAAGACTGTGTGTGATCTTTCAGACCTCACAATAGACAATTACCCAGGCTTAATCTGGCAGGCTCCACAGAGGCAGCTGTCTTCCCACACCAGACTTGGTCCACAGCCTGAGCTTGTAGTCTCTGACCAGAGCTGCAGCTGAGGACCAAATTCTCCTGGCAGGCGACTGATTCTCTAAGGCATCTGAGCCTGTCTAACCCAGAAGGCCCCACTCAGAGCCCTCTATTGGAGACCCAGCTGAGGCCTGCCTCAAGCACCTCTGCCAAGACCCCCTTGTCAAGAGAAAGGCAGAATTTTCAGGACACTTTACTTTCAGTATTCTGGACTTGTCCACTCCTAGCTCCTCCCCACTCACTTTCCTCTGTTCCTAAGTCCATAAAATGACAGAAGTCTTTCGTTGGGGCTCCCCAGGCAGTGAGACAGTGCCCTCTGTCTGCACTAATGCATCTGACGCTTACCTTGAATAGTTCCAAGGTAGGTAATAGAACAATGTGATGCTGGTACTTCCTCTTACCCAACCTCTTGTTTATACTGTTTCAGTAAGAGGGTAAAGGCTTAACTTCTTTCATTTTGATTTGTAGCCTTAGTTGACTACTCCAACATATGGCCACTAAGCCCTCTCCAGGTCAGCTCAGCTCTTAACACTGACCCCCCCCCCCCCCAACCACCGCCTATGCTGCCACTGCCCACCCCACCAGTGTCATACCTGCTGCCGTCAGAGGCACCTTGTGCTTCTTTGGTGGTTTCTCTTCTACCTTGTGTTCATGAGTCTTCATGCTAGGGTGGAAAGGTGCTTCTAAAGCCTTGTACTCAGAAGCTTACGACTGTGCGTTTGAATTTCTTGTCCAAGGAAAGAAATTGGTAATAAAGAACTACTTCAACTTCTTCTGGGGGACATAAACTATTTATATGCCCCCAAACACTCACATCCAGACAGGATTTGTCCTACCTTTCCAGGGAGAAAACAGTAGTTAAGAGACAGTAGGTTTTCTCCACCTTTCTCCCAAAGGAAGTATCTAATTCTCATCTCATGCCCCAAAAGACATGCACATTAGAGCATACAGTTGACAACCCCAGGGGTGTGTCACTGTAGAAAGAGATGAGAACAGTTTTTATCATTGCTATTGAGGAGGCCAGCTCCTAACTAGATAAAGTAACTTGCTTAAGGACATGTAAACTTGAATTTATATAACAACACCTCTTACGACTTTCCTACATAGTATCTTATTGGGTCCCTATAAAAAAATGGTAGATGACATGGAAGGAAAACAACATTTTGTTTTCTTCTATCATTTATACACCACAACTTCATTTTTCCTTTCCTCAATGAATCACCCCTGACGACTCCCTAAAGGCCCACTTTGTAGGTAAGAAAAAGTAAAACGCATATTTACCCAAGTTCATATTCAGTACAAAGAGTGAGAAAAGGACTTGAACCCAACTCTTTAGCTGCTACTCCTTTCCCCCACCTTCCTGGACTTTTCTAGATGTGGTTCTGAACTGAAGCTAGGTCTTTCACCTGTCTGCTCAGGAGCATGTCCACTGCCCTGTACTCACCCGGGACAGCACACCAGGCTTCAGCAGAATTTTGTTGCTGATGTGTGGGAGGTTGATCACATTCTTCTTCTCCTTGGTATCCATAAAAGGGAGTGAAGTAATATTGGTGTTTGTACCCTATAGAAGGAGAAATTGGATAGGTATAGAAACCTCAGATAAGAAAATTCTCCAGAGGTCATTTCTTCTAGACTCCTCCCCACAACAAGGATGAGCCTAAACCCAGATTCTTGGAGGGAAAAAAAAAAAGATTCCAGGGAGCAGAGTAATCTAGCACACAGGATCTGGGGTTGACTCCCCATTCCACTACTCACTAGCTGTAGACACTGAATGGGTCACATTGATTCTTTCTCTCAGCCTTAATTATTTCATCACTCTCAAAAATGGGACCTACCTCATAGCTTTTGTGAAACTATGTAGAGTATTCCATAAGTGATAGCCATTATTATTCTCATTCCAATATTTTACCTTCCAAACATGGGGAAGGCCTTTTTGCTATACAATGCAAATCTTTCTTGATGCAACAAAACCTCCCATTTCCTCTATGGCTACTTTATAGACTTGACCTTCTCACTTGGGTCACTGCCCTCCTACATTGATTGATTAACTGATTGGGAAAGAGATAATCTAACTATCAACAAATAGCCATGTTTAAAACTGTGTGGAGAGAAGCATGGTGATATGGATAAAGGGCTCTCATTGTCATGCTGAGTTGGCCAAAAGTGCCTGTAAAAAGCTATTTCTTCCATCCACTGCCCGCGTCCTTTCCTAAAGTCACTAACCAACACTTCCTATCTTATGCAAATGTCGGGTCATTTTGAGGTTCTTGATCTTGGAGGGTGGCTTCTGGACTTGAGCCAAAGGCTTATTTTCAACCTGAGTCAAGTAGAAGAAAAGTGTAATAAGGTCCCAAGCCACCTGGACCTTTATTTCATTTCCTTACAATAAGCAAGGTATACTTGAAGCCAGCTTTCCTGATCCCAAGCTAGGAAGAGTTCAAAGAAGCTCAAAGAAGTACTCAATGCATGAAATGAATTACTACCCACAAATAATCTTTCCAGAAGTGCTAATGATGGATCCACTTGTCTTATGATTTTCACACCTTAAAAAATCAATATATGCTTTCTTCCAACACAGTCTTAACCAGCATCCTTGTAGATGGTAAGGAATAGAAGTAGAGCTAATGTTATCTTGCTCTTTAGGAAAGAAAATGCTCTTAGTCTTGCCCAGAACTCAAAATGCCCAAAGATGCCTTAGTGGAACCTGCCAGGACACAGGTGCCCAGCCTGAATACCAGTGCTCTCATCAGAAAGGCTTCACATCTAGAAAGGGGTAGAGAGGAAAAGGCCACAATCTTAGAACAATTTTTTCCAAGGTAGTAAGCACACCACAGGGGTAGGTGACATAATTCTGTGCAGGATGCAGATAGACAATCACCTAATGGCTATGCATTTATTTTGCTATCCATTTGAAAAACTATAAGAAGCACTTTAAGCATGTGATTTTTGCAGTTGTTATTACTTAGGATGAAATCAAAATTCAAGTAAAAAAATAAAAGGGAGCATGAGATATGGCAAAAATTATGAAGGCAGCACTGAAATAACTAAAGTTTAGCAAACAGCCTTCAGTTTGAACACAAGTTCTGTTCTTTGAAACAAAACTTAGAATTCTCTTTCTTCCAGACCTTCCCTAGAGACCTGAAGGAAGCACATCTAAAGCTGAGATACAGGGGGCCAGACCCTTTTAAATTGGCAACTGAGGTACAACATTTATTGTCCTTTAGCACAGCTGAGTCCTCCACAGAGCGGTACTGATGGGGGCATTTAGAATATTCGGTCTTGACCTCCTGGAATATGAAGGTAATCTGAGGGAGAGAAGATTTCACAGAGCACGGGCCATGGTCTCAGACCACGTTGGTTTATTTGCTAATGTGCACCACATGCAGATGTGGTTATCTATGAATAGACTGTGATGATATCTGAGGAAATATTGCAATTGTGAATCCAACTTCTCATTAAGTAGGTTTACGAATATTAAAACTCGGAGGTATCAGCAGTAACAACAAGCTGGCATTGAGGATGCAATGGAGAGACCAACAGGTGAATGGAAAGTACATCAACAAAATACAGCCCAGACTAAATATCAGACAAAGGACATCAGTGAGTGTCAAGTGTCGATAAAAAAAAAAAAAAAAAAAAAAAGGAAGATACCACCATAAATGCAATGAGCCCAGGAGGAGGGGAAAGGGACTTCTGGAATGCACGGGGCTTGGTCTGGACTGAGAGGATGGGAAGACGACATGCTCATTAGGAGAAGCAACAGTATCCAGGCATGCTCCAGGGGTCTCCACTGCTCAGAAAGGATAAGCTGGAGCACAGGGTTGGCTGTGGGTTGCAGAAGCATTGAAAGCTAGGCTAAGAAACTTGGTCTTATCCTATGGGAAAATGTGAACCACTGAAGGTTTGTACGGTATGTGCAAAGCAAAGCCATCCTTCAGAAAGATTCCTTCAGCAGCTGTGTGGCATGACAATACTCAAGGGCATGAACTTGGAAGTCACACTCTTTCATTTTGAATCCAGTTCCACTATTCATTAATTATCTGAATTTGGACGAGTCATTAACTTCTCCTCCTATTACTCGAGGATATTATTATTAACAAGCTCATAAGGTTGTTGTGAGGAAGAATGACTTTAATGTGTGCACAACACTTCAACTAGTGCCTTGAATGTGAATGAGTGATAGAGTTCAATTTTCCTCATTTGCAAAATGCAGAAAGTGATCTGTGCTCATTTCCCATGAAATTGATGGAGGATGAACAAGATGGCTAAAGGAGCTATGATGCTTAACTTGACAAAAGAATAAAACAAAATAGAAATTCTCATAGATTAACATTATGGTAACTGTCATATACATATATTGGAAATGAACAATTAAGAAGTAGACAGCAGCTGGGCGGGGTGGCAAATGCCTGTAATCCCAGGAGCTCAGGAGGCTGAGGCAGGAGAATCTCGAGTTCAAAACCAGCCTCAGCAATATCAAGGCACCAAGCAACTCAGTGAGACCCTGTCTCTAAATAAAATATAGAACAGAGCTGGGGATATGGCTCAGTGGCTGAGTGCCCCTGAGTTCAATCCCTGGTGCCCATCCCCCCAAAAAGTTGAAGGCAGATGGTAGAAACCAGGTTTCTCTTTGTTGGAATGGAAATTTATGGATCAGAAAAGTCCCATCATGTTATAAGGGACTATAATTGTAGATATAGCTCATGTTTAAGTTAATATAGATACAGATGGCTACGTGTAGAAATATTTATGTATATGTGTGCACGTGTGTGCACATGTCCAGGTGGCTTGGGATAAAGCCCTGTCAAGAAAAGTTTAAGAAAATGTCAGAGCCAAGAGGAGACTAAAGAGACATGTCAACTAAAAGTAATATGGGATCCTGGAACAGACAAAGGACATTAGGTAGAAATTAAGGAAACCTGCAAGAAGTATAGAGTTTGGTTAATTATGACATATCAATATTGGTTCATTATTTATAACAAATGCACTATGAGATATAAATAATAAAGAAAACTGGGTAGATGGTGGGGAGTAGTGTGTGGAAACTTTTATATCTCTCTTTTTTTTTTGGTAAATCTAAGACTATTCTAAAAATTAGTCTTTTATTAAAACAAAACTCCTATAGGAAGGGCAATGTCAGAAGGGCTGCCACTTATGATATAGTACAAATTTCTTCTACGTGGTTCAAAGGACAGAATCAGGTCAAAGTGTGGGAATTATAGGGAAGTAAATGGAAATTTATGGATCAGAAAAGTCAAATCAATATTACCATCATGTTATAATGAACTATAATTGGAGAAATGTCTGGTTCAATAAAATGAAGAATTTTATAAAATTTAGAGTTGCACATAAAAGGTAGGAATCTCTCTGAAGCATTGACTTTCCCATCAGGTGGAATCCACCTGATGATCATCTGCAAAATGTGTATGGAATGGGAGTCTGGGCAAGATGTAATCTACAAAGTCCTATCAGTTTGTAAGATTTATTCAAGTGACTTCCGGATGTGTGTCTTAAGAGCTTTCTTCCGTTTGGATTTTCAGTGTCCTCCAAAGGCCCATGTGTTGAAGGTTTAGTCTCTAGCCTAAGGTACTCCTGGGAGTTGGAACCTTTCAGAACCTGGCCTCCTTCTGTTTCTCTCTTTAATGTTCCAGCTGCCATGAGACGAGAAGCTTTGTTCTAACACATGCTCCCCACTATGATGTTCTGCCTTGCCACAGGCCCAAAGCAAGAGGGACAAGCTACCATGGACTGAAATCCTCTAAAATTCTGAGGCCAAAATCAATCTTTTCCTCCTCATATGATTATCTCAGTTGTTTTGTCATAATAGCAGAAAGCTTGCCAACACAAACTTTATCTTTCCTCTCATAGAACCAAAGCTGCAATCTATTGAACAGAGCCGTGCTTCCCAACCTTTGTCACATCATGACACATACAGAAAAAAATTTAATACTTGTACAGCAACAAGGGTCAAGACAGGAGGCAACTCACAGCCAGGGGTTCCAGCTGCCCCAGGTCTAACCAAGCCACCCCCCAGGATGGGTGGCTTCTACATCTCTGCACCCCATCTCCCATACTCAGATAACAATATGTTGTTGTGCAAGATTATGAGCTTGGTGACTCTGTTTCCTGCAGTTTCTCCAAGAGGCACACAGTGTCCCATCACAACACTACATTCTACCATGGCAGGAAGAAGAGGGTGTGATCTCCCATATTCATAGTAAAATGCCACCTTTCTTTCAGACAGTGAATTTTGGTGTCATTGTCCTTTGGCCCTGCACTGATTTCTAAGTCAATGCAACAGGAGTCTCTTTAATAGTCTCTGTATCTACATTTGAACTCTCCTGTGTAAAAAAGACTTTATTCACAGGGGCACATGGCAAAGTTGGGGCTTCCAGTGCAGCCCATGAACTGTGGCTGGATTCTGGGAAATAAGAAAGGGCACTAGGGAGCTGATAGAGCCTTTTCCACTTCTCTGTGTGCATCTCTGTTCTTAGAAGTTTCCAAAACAGCCAGAAGTCAACTGTAAAGCTCCTGATTTCCCAAACCTTTTATATAAATATGCACTGCTTTTATAATTTAAAAATCCTATTATTTAAAGACAAAAGGGCCAAATATGGTGGCGCAGGACTCTGGGAGGCTGAGGCAGGAGGATCCCAAGTTCAAGGCCAACCCCAGCAATACAGCAAACCCTGTTTCAAAATAAAAGATTTTAAAAAAAAATGTCGGGGTCATGTGGCTCAGTGATAAAATTCCTCTGAGTTCAATACCCAGTACCGAAAAATAAAAATAAAAACAAAAGGTATTACAACAGGTAATTATCAAAGGTTCAAATCAATGATGGGGCAGGAGGTACTCTGGGCAACTGAGAGCCTAGATAGAGTGGATTAGATTATAGAAGAGGACAGTGAGGAACCTGGGCAGGAGAACCTGGGAGGATAGAACAGGAGATGCTGGCTGAGGTTGTTAAGATTCTCCCCACTAGAGGCCCTCATTTAAATTTGAGGCCTCCTCTGTTGTCTCTATCTGTGCTTCCCATAGCCAGGTCATGGACCCACAGGGACTGGACACCACACGAAAATGCAAGTAATTGGCTGATCCGAGCCTGGAGTTTCTTGTCCTGACCCAGGGCCCCTCCTCGCCTCTCTCCTGTCTGTCTTCTGAGCTAGCTGGCTAGTTCTCACTAGGCCAGGCACTTAGGTTCTCACACTTACTTTGTTTTCTCAGACAAAACCTTAAACCGTGGCAGGTGGCAGATTCTATCTGCTGCTTTATAAAAGCCAGCTCACCTTTCTCAAACAGAAGCTGCGTTCAATTTAAAAGCTAATTAGGAGAAAGGTGGGAAATTGAAACCAGCTTCTCCCCCCACCCCTCACCTGTCATTTATGTAAAATAGCTGCAAAGTTGCCAAACTGATCTAGTTACCAGCTCCTGTGATCAAGAGTCCTTCTTCCTACCTCAAGGATTTTTCCAGCAAACACCTCCCTTCTATCTCTCTGAGCCAGAAGGATGCATGGAATCGCAGGGTTAGGATGGACCTTGGGGATGCATTCATTCTCAACATACTCACTGAGCTCGCCCATGTGCCAGTCAGTCACTAGGTTAAGCACAGAAATTACATGGACCTGACTCCCTAGTGGTGGAGACCAGAGGCTCCCCAAGTGAGTTCTATGCAGCCAGATTTGGGAAGCACATTCTAATGGAATCCCCTTTGTTTTCCGTTATGCCATTGATGTTTATGTAGCCTTTCTAATTATTTTTTAATTTTTTAAATTTATATATGACAGTAGAATGCATTACAATTCTTATTACACATATAGATCACAATTTTTCATATCTCTGGTTGTACACAAAGTATGTTCACACCAATTTGTGTCTTCATACATGTACTTTGGATAATATCCATCACATTCCACCTTCATTTCTAACCCCATGCCCACTCCCTTGTCCTCCCACCCCTCTGCCCTATCTAGAGTTTGTCTATTCCTTTCATGTTCCCCCTCCCTACTCCACTATGAATCAGCCTCCTTATATCAGAGAAAACATTCAGTATTTGGTTTGGGGGGATTGGCTAACTTCACTTAGCATTATCTTCTCTAACTCCATCCATTTACCTACAAATGCCATGATTTTATTCTTTTTATTGCTTAGTTATATTCCAGTGTGTATATATGCCACATTTTATCCATTCATCTATTGAAGGGCATCTAGGTTGGTTCCACAGTTTAGGTATTGTGAATTGTTCTGCTATAAACATTACAGGCTGTGTCCCTGTAATATGCTGTTTTTAAGTCCTTTGGGTGTAGCCCGAGGAGAGGGATAGCAAGGTCAAATGGTGGTTCCATTCCTAATTTTCCAAGAAATCTCCATACTGTTTTCCATAATGGCTGCATCAATTTGCAGTCCCACCAGCAATGTATGAGTGTACCTTTTCCCCCACATCCTCACCAACACTTATTGTTGTTTGTATTCATAATAGCTGCCATTCTTTTTATGAATTATTTATCTCCTCCCACAAGATTCTATGGCAATGAACATTAGGCCCTACATGATATGCCAATCCTGGAACATCAAAAGCAGTCAGTCCCTCTGGATGTCTCACATAGGGGTCCCCAGGTGTC